ACTCAAACCACAGTGGATTCTCAGAATCTTGTGTTAAAATTGGATTGTTTGACTTGTTCTTGTTTTAGGTCTCAGCCAACGTTACATTGAAACTACTTGTAATTGGTATTTATGGAAAAAATGACTTTAACCCAAAGGATAATGAATATGTTTTACATACGAATCACCAGATTTATGTTTTTAACTGCAGCTAGATATGGAATCACATTTAAAAATAGTGTACTTTATACAAAATGAATTGGTAAGCACTGAAGAAGTTAAAAAACAAACTCCAAAGCACAAAACTAGAGAAAAACCTTTGGATAGGAAGGAGAATTTGTGTGATATTTCACATTGCACCAACTTTACTTTTCTTGTTGTTATAGAAAGTAACAAAGAATTTCTTGTGTAGGAGAATTTTCGTTTGACTTCTTAAAGCATATGTTTGAACTGAGTGTTCTTCTTTCAAGAGTTACTCGGACAAAGGAGGTGTCCCTGGTCAATGGGACACTGGGGCAAAGGTACAGTTAGTATGTTACCGCGCTACAAGAAAACACCAAATTCCTTCTCTGACACACTTTGTGCTTATTTTTCAGTTAAATCTACCTTGAATTCTCCTGGTCATTAAGCAGCCCTTATGCTTTCATTTTGTGACCCCAGAAATACACCTGGGTAGTGAACAAGCAGAGTGATAAAACAGGAAATCTGTAACATTGTGCTTAAAATGTGAACAAAAGAAGTAACAGGCACTTTGCTGAAAAGAAAAGCCATTGAGCATGGTTGAGTTGCTTTTACAAGTGCTCAAGCTATGTTTTTGAGTAGCTGAAAAGCAAAATCACACATCTGCTCTTCAGTATAATCCTTTTCCCATAGAAGGTCCATTAGATGTCTACAGTGAAGTGAATTTCCAAGAGTATGTTTTACAGACCCATTTTCTGCTTTGATGCAGAGGTGCTCTGCAGGCAGTTCAGGTGGTGCCTGTGTCCTTGTCTGTCCATCCTGGGAGGTTTGCTGAAGTGGTCTTTTGAAACACTGTTTGTGAAAACTGCACTTTCTCTCCTGTCCGTCTTGGTTTCTCCCTCCTGTGCCCCAGATGAAGTATGTCTCATTCTTTGTGTTCTATTCCTAGTCGTGTCTGACAGGTATTATGATAGTCACAACTGATTCCCATAGTACCAAATTAATGGAAAACATAATATGATGATTTTCTAATGGGATAAGCTATAATGAAGGCTCTAGTGTCTGGACAATTCAAAATGGATTAATAAAAAACCACTTGTTAAATAACTGAACCTTCCATTGGAGGACCTTAAAGGAAGGAATTAAAGATGAACATGGCAAAAGACCAAACACATCTTAATAGGGATTTTTCTAAAGCTTCCCTTGTTAATTTATATTTGAGCTTTTCTGTGCTCTTCTCCCTTTCTCTCTGTGGGAGGATCTTCAGAAAGTCTTGTGGAGGACTGGGTAAGTAACATAAAGAGCAGGGCTCATTGAAAGTTGCCTTGAAATCTGGAGGTGCTACCAAAATTTGGCTGCCATTGGTTTTGACTAGATGCCCATGGAGGTGCAAAAACTGCCCTGGTCTTTGCCCTGAAAATAGGGAATATAAGGGAAGGAGAGAAAGAAACTTGACGCAGAGATATCTGTATTGGAGCTTCTTCCATGAAGCTGCTGTGTGTTAATACAACTGCAGAATCCTCTTCAATCTGGGGGACCCACATGCCCATTGTGATGAAGATAAGTAATTGTAACTTTGCGTAAGTAAGCCATTTTCAAGTTGTCCCATTACAAGACAAAGACACTAGTTCTTTTAAGCCTGTCTTGGTACTAATGTTGGTGTTATTTATGTTAAAATAAAGTGTCAGTATTATTCAAAGTAGGTTTTCAAGTTTTTTTCCCCTTTTTAAAATTTTCTTCTTTCCCCTCTCCTTCTTGAAATTAGTTGCTGTGTGACTGTCTGAATTTAGCAATAGTAGAGAGTTAACAAGAGCAGTGAGCTCATTGTTTCCTGGTGTCTGTGCCAAGAAACTTGCCTGTTTGATCACTTTGTGGCTTGGTTAGAGGCCACAGGATCACGGGTTATGAGCTTCCTTCCCTTGTGATCCTGGAACTCCACGTGGTATATGAAACAGCAGCGAGAACAGCCTGGAGGCTGTCCCTGAACACTGCTGTGTGAGCAGATTGGGCCTGGGAGGGAAGCAATGTTTCTTAAATCATGAAAACATTAATTGTGAACTTGTTTTGGCAGCCGGCCCCTTTATGTTGCTTTGTGATGAGGGAGGGGGCTGGAACTTGCAGGGGCAAGTGGGGCTTGTCTCTGGGCTGAGGTAGGGCTTAGTGGTTCCTATGGATGCTGGAGGAGCAGTTTGTTGCAGTAGGGTTCTGCTAGCTCTGAAAGGCCTCAGGAGGGTACCCAGTGCTGCAAGAGAGCTCTTTACAGCCTGAATCTTTGCTTAAGGTGGAGCTTGAAAGGGATTCAGCCCTTGCTGAACTGCATTGAGTGAGTGCCTGGAAATAACTGGCCTCATGCAGGCAACTACTTTTTTATGGGATCCTCTTAAGCCCTTTATGTGTACATTATACTTAGCTGTCTCATTAAAATGAAGCTTTAGCACTTGAGTCCTGTTAATTCCTTTCACTTTTCTCAGGTTGGCTTATTCATTCTGATCATTGTACTCCAGTTTCAGATTGTCCTCTCCCTATTCCTTTCCCTACAAAAAAAACAAAATTCTATTCATAAGGTTTTTTTTTATTGGCTGGTGTCTCACAAGGGCTTTCTCCCTCCCCCCACCCCTTTTGTTCTATTTTTTACTTTTAAATCCTTATTTAATAGTATTTAGTAATATTATCAGTGTTATCTCCCAAAGTGATGACTCTAGGCTTCTCAGTTCATATACGGGTGTTAGACTTAAAACATTTTGTATCAGTTTTTGATTATTTAGTAGCTTTAGGTTTTATAGCATGGAGAGCTGGCTATGTCTGGGAAAGAAAACACTGACATATGGTATTGTTTCCCCTCATACCCGTCAAGCATGAAGAAATCAAGACAAAAAAAGCAGTAATTCTGACTCAAACTTCAACCTGTTGAGAGTCGTCCCAAACTTTCTAGAGGAAGTAGGTTAGAAATTAACATTTGAAACACATTTTGTAGTGAGATAGACCATTTAATTGGACCACATTACCTATTACACCTTTGCTGAGCATATAGTTACAGGTAGGTAGACACTATTGAGGAAGCAGGATGAATAGTAGCCATCTACAGGCTGTGTTACTGCGATGCCAGAATCTATTTCCTACTTAAAAATATCATTGAAAACTTCTTCTCCATTACTGTATCTGTTACCCATAGCTGTATGTTAGGATTTCAGTCTCTTAAGTGTAAAACCTAGTAAAAGCTAATAAGGGTGACATGGAAGTGTCTAAGAGGCATCTCTTAAGGCATGACTCTGATTTTTTTTATGGTAAATCTAAATTCAGACATAGAATTAATGGTCAAATCATTACAGTTAACTATTTTATTAGCTTAAAAATAATGTATTGATATTTGATAGGAAGAAGTTTCTCACTGTGAGGGTGGTGAGACACTGGCACAGGTTGCCCAGAGGAGCTTTGTCTGCCCCATCCCCAGCAGTGTTCAAGGCCATGTTGGATGGGGCTTGGAGCAACCTGCTGTAGTGGAAGGTGTCCCTGCCTTTAGCAGGGGAGTTGGAGCTAGGTGATCTTTAAGGTCTCTTCCAACCCAAACCATTCTATAATTCCATGATATTTAAATAAGCACTTTTATTTGCCTAATCTTTATTCATTAAAGTAGTTTTTAAAATGGATTTTGCTTTTCTTTAGCATTTCTACTGGAAAACAGTGTGAATAGAGGATAGGTGCACAGTCACAGTATAGAGCTGGGTGATCTAGTGCACCACAAGGAAGAAAATGTCATGCTAAAATCCTGAATGTGGGTCTCCTAGTACTAGGAAGTTTCTCCTTTTCATTTTTGGTTGGTGCAAGCAGATATCCAATAATCACTGAGATACTGTGCAATATGGTAGAGCAGCACTTTATCGCTTTAAAGCCCTCTCCTCTCCTTCACAGCAGTCAGGCACACCAGTTTGTTGGGTGACTTAGCAGATGGTTTTTGAACAGGCATGTGTGTTAGCATTTGGGGAGCAAGGTTTTGTGTGATGTGTGTAGTAGTCCTCCTCTTCTGGCTCTTTTTTCCTGTGCATTTTTTTCATAACACAGGAGATGTTATGCTGAAGGTATTACTCTTATAACTATAATGAAATCCCATCTCTAGCAAGCAAGTTGGTATGTGCTCGTTTTAGACACTAAGCTTTTTTTATGAGAGTTTTGAAAACAGACACAACTGATGGGAAATAGATTTGAGTGCATGAAAACACTGCTGCACAGCTGGACTTCTTCCTGGAATCCCTGTGTTCTGGGAAGCAGCAAACCTGTGTAGCACTCCCTTGGTAGCAGAGTCCTCTCCTGCACTGCTATGATACAGCACTGCTCAAAAAATACGTTCAGTGCCTCATTTCTAAGAGAGTTTTAAAATACTCTTTTGTGGTTTCAATGTTTAGTCCCTGTTACCTACGCTGTATGGGTAAATGGGAACTCCTGCTGCAAGGCTGGTGGTAAGAGGCTGGGGTGTATCTTGCAACATTCTCTTTCGCAGTTCCTTAGAGCCACATAATTGACTTCATTGGGCTTTGGATCAGAGTACGTCAAATTAAGAACAAACCATGTAACTGACTTGCAGAGTCAAACTTCTGAAGCAGGTTTCCCCAAGCTGCTGCTCTGTTTCTAGTTGAAGGGATTTGGAGACAAGCCCAAGTACTTCAATTATATCCCATAGCAATACATAAACATTGGTCACGACAATCAGGAAAATGAAATAAAAATGAATTCACTTGATAGTTGGCTGTGTCAAGCAACCTGTCAAGTGGAAATGTGACTGTGGATGTTTGTGATGTTTGTTTTAACATATTCAAGTCTCTCTAATTTTTTTTTGTTTTGTTTAGGGAGAAAGACCTTAATGCAAAGTTTATTATTTCAATGGAAAAAAACAAAACGACAATCACTAACTTAAAGGTGAGTAAACACAATTTATAGAAGGAAGCCCGAACTGAATGGCTGCCAAAATAAGACTGGACTAAAGAGTGGTCCTCACTGTACCATGAAGAACAGTCCTTAGCTCTTAAAGTACAGCGTTGAAGTAATTCTTCAGGGAAGCAGGTTAAAGTGTTAACTTGCTGTACTGGAGTTTTCTGAAAACCACTCTGTAGGCTGTATCTTGGAGGTTTTTCTAAGGTTTATCACTCCGGTCATTACTTAGCTGGAAGATGAAAGCCAACAATAGAAGACAGGTACACGCCTGGTAGCTATTAAACCTTTGCTTTATGTGTAGAATTCTTGAATTCCCATGATAACGAAGTAAACCCAAAGTACCCATCACTTGCTATCATATTTTGATGGTATATTTTAACATTTCTGTCAGCAAGGGAAATCATGCACAGCAAATAGATTTTTGCAGGATGGTTTCCAATGACAAATATGTGAAAATGGGTTTCGGTGTGTAGTTTGTTTAGATTGATTCAGATTGCAGTGCATATTGCTGAAATATAGTGCTAGTTGTCATGTCTTGAGCATGAGGATAACCTTAAGCAGCATGTAAGTAATACCATTTTAATTATGGCTCCACGATGAAATCCTGTTTACAGTGCAAAGGTCTTTCTGGCTCCTATTAATTATATGCATAGAGTAATCCTTTATTGTAATCTGAATTGCACACACAAGACTGATTTAACTGAACATAAGTATGGTGACAAAAATGTACTGTGGCGTTAGGAGCAGTAAGCTTAAATCCAAGTAATTCCTGCTGTGCTGTCCTGTGACGTGACTATCCTTTATGATGAAGTGTATCTGTTGTTAATTTTTTCACTGTGGGAATAATAGGCTAACCTGTCATTGTACAGGTTTCTAAGTGTGTATAGCCTTCTGTTAAATTTGCTTTCTGATTATCTATTGTAAAATGTTTCTAGATACTTCATTAGGATGTACTGTACCAGCTCTTTTTCTTTATTTTTTAAATAGGTGCCAGAGGGTGGTACTGGAGATACAGGACGAGAAAGAACTAAGACATTTACCTATGATTTTTCCTATTTCTCAGCAGACAGTAAAAGTCCCAGCTTTGTTTGTCAAGAAATGGTAGGATTTCTGAATGTTTATAATTGATTTTTTTCCCTCCTTTTCTTTTTCTTTGGCTTGAAAGCGGTCTTTGAAACGTCCTTCCCTTGGAAGTGCTTCTTGTATAATTTAGAAAATCCCTAGGTACCTGAGAATTTGAATTCTGCTTTGTTTTCTTTTCTTTCGAGCTTATCTAACATGAAGTGCTGTGTTTTCTAGTACAGCAGGTTAAATGCCTTCTTTCTAGTTTTCTTGTTTGATTTGGCTTGTAAGGTCAAGTTAGAAGAATTCTCTGAGCACTAAATTTGCTTTTGAAAAGCTTTTTTGAAAGAAATCACTTTTGAGAAACGAGGCTATATCTTTAATTCACTTCAAAACATTTTTATTGTCTAGTAGGAGTGGGTTTTTTTTTGTCCAAAAGTCCTGGTGTACATTGAAGATTGTGCAGTCTCCTCCTTTGAGTATTCAGTTTAGGGAAGGGCAAACCTGCTTTTCTTCCTGCACACTCAGAAAATCAAACTCAGAGCTATAGGCATTGTTCAGGTGAACAGATAGACCCTCCCTGACCTTGCATTTCATGTGAACATTGAACCTTTTTTTGCTACTTCATATTTCCAAATAAATTTATTGAGTAAAATTCAAGTGTTTCGTGATTGTTACCTTGTTTTTTTGTTTTTTGGAACTTGGGATGCTTTAAGCTTCAAGTGAGAATGGTTTTTTTTCCCCTTAAAATAATGCAAGGCTTTGAATATGCTGTAAGGCAGTTGGATATATACCAGATGTGCTCTGTATGCTCGCAAATCGGGGAGACTGGTATCGCTAATCCTAAAAAGCCTCAGATTTAAAACTAACAGTAATAAGCAATAAATTAAAGCTATTTTAAAATATTTATGAGAAGAACAAGCTTTGCCATTATATATAATGGGTATAGTTGTTTGATAGGGAATTTCTACTTGAAATTTCTATTTAACCATCAGTGTAAGCATTAAGTTCTCTTTTTTCCTGAAAGTGTCTTTTTTAGTTCACTGAGTTATCGGTTAGAATTGAATCAAAAAAATTGATCATGTATATTCTTAAACTTTCTGGATTGTTAATTCTTGACGATGTTCTTACAAGTAGCACTGGTTTTGCTGTATTGTCTGAAATGTCAAGAATTACGCATTTATTGGGGCATTGATGTAGAAATATCATAATTCGAGAAGCAGAGTATTTGAGTGCAATGATTGGAACCCTTGTTTCTTGTGGATGCTTTTAAGCAGGCAGTTCAGGCAATGTGGCTTCACTAGAACTTCAGCAAATGCTTGAAGCTGACCAGGCAGAGATTGAGTTATTTATTTTAATTAAAGCAGTTTTGATCATGTATTTTTCAGCTCTGTTGAAGCTTGGGACTTTGGTTGTGGTTCTGCAGATGCAACAGAAGGTTGCCTTAAGTTTTCTCATACAAGTTGATTAGGATCTCAGTTTAATATTACTTAGTTTCATGAAAATGCATACAGTTCTATGATAACTAATTACTGTATTCAGAGTTCTTTCTGGTAGAGATGAGTACAACTCCATAAAGCAGTACTAATGATGTATCTGCATGTTTGGAGAAGCCTGCAAAATGTACTCTAAAGTAGTTACAGAAATTCTTCTTAGGTACCAATTGTGGCTTAGGTTTATGAGTATATGATTCTTGGATCTTTTAGATAGCAGTTTCTTTTTGTGTGATTTCAGATGCTTCTAGAAAGCTATGTTAGACAAGACCTCACTGGAAGAATGGAAGAAACTTGAATTAGTATAAATGGATATCCAACGTGTATTGGATATGTCTGATTTGCATATAAAAGTGATTTTTTTTTTTCATATTTTAAGTTTTTCCATATTGGTGCCCTTTTGCCTATTTCAGGGTGGATCAGACTGAGGCAACATCACTTGCCCATGTCAGGAGCTTATAGAGAAAAAGTAAAACTTAAAATGTCCATACAGAGATTGCTGCAGCAGCCTTGAGTAATGTTTGTTTGTTTTAAGCCGTGAGCTTTATGGTTTGTAGTAATAAGATGGTAACAATAAATCCTAAACATGGTTTAGATGTCCACTTTCAATATTCTGTTACTACAGTGTGTCTCACAACCCCAGACTGCCTCCTTCATCCTTCCTAGTAAGAGTGTGAGCTTTCTCAGCCACAAAAACATTGGTGCTCCTGGGTCAAGCATTGCTTTAATTACAATGGGTGAAGCACATTGAAAACAAAAGGAGTTTTCAAACCATGGGAGTGCAATTTTTAAACAAGTGCTGCACAAGCTATTGTTTTGCTGGTGTTATTCATTTCATATTTAATTGGAAGACTGTAGTTAAGCTCTTATCAAGTTGCTGCAGAATTTCCAGTTTACTGCACCAGTGGCATAGAAGAAGGGAGTCTTTCATTCATACTCATCTTGCCATGGAATAAAATTGATCTTGATTGTTGTTAATGTGGTTGCCTCGTGCGCTTTGTTCATGATTGTTACAGTTTTCCATTTGAAAGGCAAAAAAATAATAGGTGGAAGTCTGTCTAATACTTTGTGCCCCATTAATATGCCTTTTAGATGCAAGATGTGGTTTAGTGTTCAAAAATCAGAGTGGGAGTGGCAATTTACAATCAAGCTACTTACTTTGTATTCTTGGAAGAGAAACTAGTAGAATTTTGGTATTTGCTGCCCTTTTGTGACAGACCAGTATCCCAGCCATTTGGTTCTGTCAGAGTCCCATCCTAACAATGTCTTTTCTTCCAACCTTGTGTGTTAAGCCTCTGTGTTCAGAAAACACTGACTACTAACTTGAATCACTTTGCAAGGTACAGACAAATATTTAAAGGGAAAATGTCATAGCAGTAGTTTATAAAGATTTGGTGAGATAAAAACATGGACATAAAGAAAGGGAAAAGGGCAGGGGGCAAATATAGGAGTAGTTACTTACGGGGGAGAATTCAACTAAGATGCCACTTTTCAAATGACAAGTGAAAGGGAAATTGTGCTTTAGCTGATCTTTATACTCTTCCTTTTTGAGTATGACTGATTACAGCATTGCAACTCCTTTGCTCAAGGGAAGGTCAAGTTAAGTATTCCAAAGACACGCTTGCAACTGAGCATTAATGATTAAAGCGAATGCCCAGCACTCCTTCAAGGGAGGAGTGTATGATTATACTGTATGTGCCATTCAGTATTAATAGTGACTTGCAGACCCTGGTTAATTTAAACCACATATACTGCAGAGTAGTAGCCAAATTATGTGAAACATCTATGAGGTTTTTAAAAGTCATCTCTGGATTTGGAGACCCGGGTTAATATTTTCATTGAGAGAAATGTGTTACTCCTTGCCCAGTGGGCCAGTGGGGGTATGACTGGAAATGAGGGGTAATGATAACGAAAGGTCAGGAATCTGGGAGGGATATTTGAACCAATATTACAGGGGAAGGTTGTGAAAGCATCTGGTGAGAGCTGAAGTTATTAGGTGAGAACAGACTCCTATATAATGGGATGTGGAGGAGGGATCGTTACCTGTTTGTAAATGTTGAGTGCAAAAGGGAAGGGGCTAGCTGATGAAGGAGAGTCACTTACCATATGGAAAACACATTTGCCAGCCTAAGAAGTATTGGTATATAAAAGCCAGTTAGGGAGGAAATACGGAGAAAATGAGTAATTTTCTTGCACTTGATTGAAGCAAAAAAACCCTAAAACCAACCAACCAAAACCCTCCAAAACCACAAGGAACTGACAAGATCACTGAAACATTTCCTTTGAGAAGGGGCTGGGTATTTGTAGAACGTGGAGAACTGGCAAAGATACAAAAAGTGAGGAGATATTAACAGTAAGGAAAAGGGAATGAAGTACTTGAGGTTGCTGAAAGAAACTGAAGCTATAAAAAGAAGGTAACATTTTTCATTCTGTGTCAAGGAGCTCTCTGTCAGAAAGGGGAGTAGAAAATACATCGTTGCAGTGCTGTAAACTAAGTATGGGAGTAAAATTTAGCATTTTATTTGAAGTACTAATTTCCTGTTCTCTAGTAAATGTCATTGGTTGATGTCAATAGCTTATATTGCAGTAGTTTATTGTTTAATATTTACCATGCTGGACTGATGGCAACTTTTTTCCCCAAGCTTCTGTTGTCTTAAAAAACTTTCTTTGTTTTCAGGTTTTCAAAAATCTGGGTACAGATGTGCTTAAATCTGCTTTTGAAGGTTATAATGCTTGTGTTTTTGCATATGGCCAGACTGGATCTGGGAAGTCCTACACCATGATGGGAAATGCGGTATGTTGTATTGTCATGGAATCATAGAATATCGGGTTGGAAGGACCTCAAGGATCATCTGATCCAACCTTTCTTGGTAGAAGCATGGGTTAGACAAGATGGCCCAACTTTCTGTCCAGCCGAAACTTAGAATCGCAGAATAGTTTGGGTTGGAAGGGACGTACAAAGGCCATCTAGTCCAATGGACAGGGGCATCTTCAATTAGATCAGGTTGCCCAGAACCACTTCCAGCCTGGTCTTGAATGTCTTCAGGGATGGTGCATCCACCATCTCTCTGGGTAATCAGTTGAAAAAGGAGCTATTTACCACCACCCCCTGGGTGCAGCCTGTTGCCAGTTCCCCACCCACCACACGGACCACTTTTCTAAGACCATAACATATCAGTTCCTCTAGGAGGAGGTTGTGGGAAACAGAATCAAAAGCTTTAGAGAAATACAGTGTCTGCTGCTCACCCCACATCAACTGAGTAGGTGGGTTTTTTTTCCTTCTGCACGAATGAATTGAAATTATGCTATTAGAAGAGCATGTTCTTATGGAATAATTACTGATCCTGTCCATATACTACTGACCCATCATGTATCATACCTTCTAGTAGTAATTAGGAGATGCTTCTTTTATAGGTAGATACTTAGGTGGAAAAGTGTGTTTAAGTGACGCTCTGCGGTGTTAGACACAAAGCAATAATTTTTGTTCACAAACCAACCCCAGAATTTCAAATGTAATTACTGATTTTCTATGCTCAGCTTGCAAGCAAAGAAGATACTGATTTGAGAACGCAAATGATCAACCCTTTCTGAAGAATCTGTTTTATAGATGTCTTTTGAAGGGTCAGAAGATTAAAATAGGTCCTTAACCCCTTTTAGCGAAAGTGAGGAGTACAAGGAGGGTGAGAGCAGGTAAATGTAAGTTTCAGCAAACCATGGTGAGATGATGCAGTAAGTTCAGTTTTCAGGATTAAGTCTTGTTGAGTGCTTCAGTATAGACCCTGGAAGAGAAAAATGTGACAGGAGGAGTATTTGACATTTTGTGACTAAAGGATGGGAGTAGTTTCTTGCAGTTATCTCCATGCCTGTCCAAGGACAGAAAGATCCCACTAAACTCTTGGAAGTAGAGCAGTTCAAAAAAGGCTGGCTGGTGAAGCCTGTTTGCCAGGCAACCTCTATAGGTTTCACTCTCTGATCATGGGGAAAAAATACATCATGTCTTCTTCCAGCAGAATTGAAAAGGGGAATATTGCCACTTGTCTGTCCTTAGATAGATCACTTTTGAAATGTAAGATTGGCCACTTTGCACCTCCTTTAGTTTAGGAGAGTAAATTAACTGCAAACCTTTCCCTTTCCATTGTCACAGAATAAGTAGCTTTATACTTAACAAAATAGACTTTTGTAACCAGAAAAGATCTTATGACCTAGCTGTGGATTTCTGTTTCAGAAATTTATAAAAGTGACATTTTTATGAGGCTGCCTCACTATATATAATGACTGTAATCATCAAGGCATTTTGCAAATGAATAGGTGCTGAAGTTTGTTTGACACTATTCAATAATAAAGGTCTAATCTTCTTGCCATGATACATAAATACTTTAATCTGGCTTTGTACAGAACGTGTATAAAATATACTCAGCCACCAAGTTAAATGCTTGAAAATTGATGGCCCTGTCAGAGAGACTATAGTGCTGTAAGAAAACTTGAATTTGAAATACGTTTTTTCTTTTCCCTACTTCCTATCTGTTCTTGGCTCTGAAGGCTTCTTCATTCTTCTGCAGTACTGTGGGCAGCAATAATTCCAAGAAATATGTGGACCAGTTAGAGTTGAGTCTTGAACAGAGATACTGAAATGATCAGAGATCTGTAAAATATGGTCTGTAAGGAAAATCAGACTTGTGTATGCAGAGAAGGGAAGACTGGAGGAACAAAAGTCTTCCAAGATGTGAAAGGCTGCTGTAGAAAGGAAAGGGAATCATTTGTTTCCTATGCCCAAGGTAGATGGATAAGAAACAGTACATATAAATTGCAATAAAATTTCATATAAATATGAAATACATATCAATTTCTGGTTAGCACAGAAGTAACATAGGCTTTTCATGAGAAAATTCAGCTCTGGAGTGAACTAGTTATTTTAGTTCTATAGATTTCCATGACTGGAAACCCTAACCCAGAAAAAAAACCATCAAAGATGTAGTTGATCCTGCTCTGGAGCTATAGGGGGTCAAAAGGGTGAAAATGTTTAAATAGAGTTTCTAATAGAGAATGTACATTCTGTAAGATGTACATTTTACTGATAAAATATGCTTGGAACAGTGTGTTCTTCCTTTCTCATCACTGTATTGCTATGGTTGAAGTTACTCAATTAAAGCTAGTATTTCCTGTTTTAAGACTCTCTTTGCAGTTGCTAGATTATGTCAGACACTAATGACTTGCCTAAAACTTTGTGATGGATCTTTCATGGTTTTTCCTTAAGCTTTAATTAAAACTATTCAGGTGTTTCCAAGCATGAGATGAAAGAAAAGTCTTTTTCCTTTTCCCGTGTTTAAAAAAAAAAACCTTAATGAAATAAAATGTGTGTGGGAATTTCCAACATTGAACCCTGAATTTTCTATGCTCAGCTTGCAAGCAAAGAAGATACTGATTTTGAGAACCTAGAGGTAGGGATCGATACATATTGGGAAAGGCAGCTCCTCTGTTACTAAACCAGCCGTCTCAGAAGCAGCATCATTAACTGCAAGTTTCTCCCTTAAACTAGGAGTTATTCTTTTTAAACCAAGTTGTGCTCAGGTGAAGGGCTAGTTGTGATAGGAGGAGAGAATAGATTATTATTTCAAACTAATCGTGGTTGGGGAGAGCTCTGATTAAGAGGAGGAAGTAACTGGAAAAGGGCAAAATGGAGGGATAGCGTATGATTAAAAAAAGACAAGACAGCACCATGAATCAGAAATTGTATCTGGACAAAGGAAAGAGGAAGAGGAGCTCAGAAATGACACCTGGAAGAAGATTTCTGGGACAGAGAATGCAGGGGAAACTGAAGAACGGGGACAGAGGGGACCAGCATGGGCGCAGAATGGAATGAGCTTGGGCGGAAAGGGTCAGATTTTATGTGGGGTTCAGAGGAGAGGAGAAATGTTTGCTGGAGGAGTGTGCTGCAGGGCAGTCTACTGTCTTCATGGTTTTTTTGCTGCCTGGTATCCCACCAGGCAAACCCTTGGGTGCCTTGAGTCTTGAGCTATGCTTATATTGGATGTTTGGTCTGGTTTGTCCTAATTTGCCTCCTGCTTAATTACAAGGGCCTTAACTCTAAGCAAGAACACTTCTTGTCTCAGCGGTGCATAGAATTAGTCTGTTGCATCAAATCTTCCGTGGTTTTGGTCTGGAGGCAAATCACATCTGACAGACTGTTTTGTCAGCTACTTCTGAGTTTGCAGCTCTGAGCCCAAAGCTCCTCTGTATATGTGTATGTCCTTTCTCTTCATTCCTGGGAGCCATGTTCCCTCGTCTGAGCTCTTAAGGAGCTTTGTTTGCTTTGCTCAGCAGGTAGTTGTTCATATACCTGCTCAGACTCTATGGGAATGGGGCCGCTGGGAGCAAGCAGCCCTTGTCAGCCAAGGCCACAGCTGCATGGCGCTCTCCTGCTCCTCTCTGCTGCTACAGAAAACCCTGTCTTTGATTTACCACCTTGCTGCTTGGCTGGAAAGGAAGAGGGGAGCTGCATGCTAAGTCTCTGGGTATCTCAGTGTTGTTAGCTGTTGCCTCACAGCCTGATGTGTTTGACATCGGTGGTGGAGCAGCAGCCTCACTGGGATGAGGCTTAATTCTCAAGAATTTTCAAGTGCCAGCTTAACCTAGAAGATGACATCCTGCTGCTGCTGGCTGCTGTGTTAGCTGAAGTGGCAAGAACCCTGTAATGGATAGTCATAGTGCTGCTAGTAAACCACATAGTCCATAGGGATCTCTGAGAAGGAATATGTTTTTTCAGTTTGCTTTATTAAACCAACTGAGCACTTAATGCATAAAAACTCTTTAACTTCAGAGTTGAGCATTTAGAAGTTAAATATCCAATTTAATTTGGCTGCGTTGTGGGATACAGTGAATGTGGAGTTTTAATTTTGTTATTGCATGCTAATTTATCCATTGGACCTGCTGCATCTTTCAAGACAGGAAGAACTGTGAGCTGGGGATTAGGGCTTTGAATAAGAATGGCTTAAGGGTGCATGTATTTGGCTCTTGTCCCATTTTCTGCAGATGTTGCCAAGTCCATAGTGAAATGAGATAGAAGAAGTTAGAAAAGATAATGTTGAGATAAGGCAGTGCATATGTTGCTCTGACGAGCCAGTTTCTGCCTTCAGCAGCTGGGATTATTTGGGCTACATGACAGGGGCAAAATATATCCCAATAGAAAAGAATTTGAGCTAGAATATACATTCCAGCACACACAGAAGGATTACAGGGGCAAGGTGACTGCAGTTAAATAAAGGGCAAGAGAGGATTTGCTGAAAGGTTTTGATTTTTCCCCCTTTTTCTGGGTATTGGAACTCTCTCAACTAGTGATCTTGGGTTTTACTGTTTTAAAATATATGTGTGTGTATATACCCTTGGAAATAAGAACTGTTGTTATTCCAGGGTGATGCTGGTTTAATACCTCGAATCTGTGAAGGATTATTCAGCAAAATAAGTGAGAAAACAAAGCGGAATGAGGCATCCTTTCGAACAGAAGTCAGGTAGGTCTTGACATGTTGATAGTTTGCTGGTTATCAAACTAGTTTCAGTTACAGCCACTTTGTTCACTTTATCTCTGAGAGATAACTTTCTATGCTTGTCCTCAGTCCTATAATTGATTTTTTTGCTGGCAGTCCTAGTAAAAATGCACAATAGTTCTAAATTCAATGCAATAGCTGTGCATTTTGCTTAATTTAAATGATAGTGAAGATGCCTTTGCTACTGATCAGCGTCTTCTTTATTGTTATCCTTTATTTCAGGCTGACATTAAGCGATCCTGATCTTGCTAATGGCTTCTTTTCTGCATGCTTCTTGCTTTTTTTGCCTTTTCCCTTATACCAGTACACTGTAGTCATTACTGTCTTTGGGTCTATTATCATAGAATAGTTAGGGTTGGAAAGGACCTTAAGATCATCTAGTTCCAACCCCCCCTGCCATGGGCAGGGACATCTCTGCTTCTCCAGGCATCTTGCTTTCAAACACAGCATTAACATGGATTTCCTTTTTTGAGAGGCTCTTGAATCAGTCAGTGATTTTTCTAATGCTTTTTCTTTCAGTTATCTGGAAATTTATAATGAACGTGTGAGAGATCTTCTGAGACGGAAGTCATCAAAAACTAATAATCTACGAATACGAGAACATCCAAAAGAAGGGCCCTATGTTGAGGGTAAAAACACTTTCAGTGTTTAGCACTGGATATTTTATTACCTTTATATGTTCTAAAATGTGGTGTCTAATTGCACAGGGTATTTTTATGATTTAAAATAGAAATGATTATGGATACAGTGCTTTGATATAAAAGTATTAAAGGAGAATAGCCTCTTACTTTGTACCCACACTCACTTTCCCAATTCTAAGATTATTATACATATACAGTTTTTATTTGTAAATTTCTAACACATTTTTAAGTAATGCTAACAGTTGCAATTGGTTTTAAGAATTTGTTGACTATAATTTATAAATCTTTAATGTTTGCATGGAAAGTACCTATTAAGATCTAATTGTCTTAATCTGTCCTCTACCAGGGAAGGTTTGTCTCTTGAGGGATTATGCTTATTGCACTAAATACTTTAGTAAGATTGCATGTTTTTTTATTAGTTTACTGTAAATGTGTAAGTGGTCCATTGTTCACATGAGGCCTCATTCCTTTCCGTAAGTGATAATGAAGTATGGCAATAAACCCTAATTGCAGCAATACTTTGCAGTAGTGAGGGTGATTGGAATATTTTTTTCTAAAGGCAGTCAAGTGCACATCCGAGCGTGCTGTAACACTCTGCTTTTCTTTAGATTTGTCTAAACATTTAGTGCAAAACTATGGTGATGTAGAGGAACTTATGGACGCAGGAAATATAAATAGAACGACGGCTGCAACTGGAATGAACGATGTCAGTAGCAGGTCACATGCCATTTTCACAATCAACTTCACTCAGGTAACAAAACTAAAGCCTCTGTCTTAATATGTGTTTAAATTCAGTAATTCATATGACAAAAAATAAGGTCAAGTAAGCAAGTATGGGTAGGTAATGACTACGTGGTTGTGATCGAGAAAATTGAAAACGTAAAAAATACTGGTTTGAGAGTTACAAGTACATTTATCAGTGATTATAATATTTAAAATTTACAGTGTAATGTGATTACTTAAAATATTTAATAGATTTTGAGGAGATAACTATTGGGACATTAGGCTGAGTAACAGTGACCAGCGCTGGCATGCTTCATGATACTGCTGTGACAGGAGTGAGTGAGGAGCCTGTTGGGTGAGACCAGCCAGGTCTGAACATGGGCTATCTTTTATACTCTGGTGTTCTCCAAGGTTTATGGAAAAATCTCTCTCCATGGCCCAAATCGTAAAGTGGAGAAATGTTTTCTGAGTGTTTTCTTGCTGAGTCTTCATCTGTTATTGTTGGAAAGCTCTTTATATTCCTTGTTTTATACTGATGGAATAATGGAGAGATTTACCACATTTTCCAAGGGAATAGTGATCTGTTTGGAGTAAACTCATTTTCTAATGATTCATGGTCTTCATTGTTGTTTTGGAGAGGGCTTTTAGACTGTCCATGGGTAACCTGCTAGGTGAAGGGAAGGTAGTGTGGAGGTGGTTTGCTCTTCTGATGGAACTTTTCATGTCTCCCCCCTACCAGAAATACAGACACAAAATGCTGTGCTGTTTGCTAATGATGAGTTGCTCATTGCAGGGCTTTCTGAAGAGGACAAGTGGCAGGCAGCAAAAGGTTTTGTTCCACTGTTGTACTGTAAAAGTAGAAGGAAGTTTGGTATAGGGTAATCTGAGTTGTTTTATATGAATTAAGGTAAATATTAGGCAGAAGCCTTCATTAAAATTGTAGAATAAAATTGCAATTGCTGCTTACTAGAACTTGGAGGCAGGGAAGGAAGTGAGTGTAAATGCATCTGTGTATATTATAGCTTGTTGAAAGCTAAATATAAATATAATATGTTGAAAGCTTAATAAAACGAATGCCACACATGTTCACTGTGCATCATGTAAGTACCAATTCACAGTTGGTGTATGTCCATAAGTGGCTAGAAAGTTGCAAATATTACAATTTATAGACATAACTACTTGTGTGGGGGTTATGCAGCAATTCATGATTGCTTTTTCTGTGGCACCTCTACTATACCTGTCTTCTGAAGCTCTGCTATTGTAGACAAGTTAAATTCAGTCATGACATGGAAAAGGCCACTAGGTTGGCTTCAGTAAAATTGCAGAATTTCATAGATTAACATACTTTTCTTTGTATTATTTTTCTTTAGGCTAAATTTGATTCTGAAATGCCTTGTGAAACTGTTAGCAAGATTCATTTGGTAGATCTTGCTGGAAGCGAGAGAGCAGATGCCACTGGTGCCACAGGGGTTAGATTAAAGGAAGGAGGGAATATTAACAAATCCCTAGTTACTCTGGGAAATGTAATTTCTGCCTTAGGTAAGTCTCAGGTTTTTGGGCTTGGCTGTTTTGGGGTTTTTTTTTTTTAGTCACTAAATACCTTTCTGTTTATTTATTTACACTTCTGTTCATTTTTACTTATACAAATAATGGCCTAATGCATCCTCGTTTTGAAAATGAGTGAATATACCTAATTGCAGCTTCTTTTTCCTTCCTCCACATCACAGCTGATTTATCTCAGGATGCAACAAATCCTCTTTCAAAGAAGAAACAAGTATTTGTGCCTTACAGGGACTCTGTGTTGACTTGGTTGTTAAAGGATAGCCTAGGAGGAAACTCTAAAACGATAATGATTGCCAGTAAGTGTTTTTAAATTACTTTTCTTTGCATCCTGAAGAGTTCATGCTGAATAGGAGTGGCTGTAAATATTTAGATTCCAGATGCTTTCTTAAGGCAGAACATTGGTTACACATATTAATGGGGTTTTTTCTTTCTAAGTTTTCTAGTAACACTGCTTTTGCACTCTGCAGAATATCTCCTCCACCAGTAGAACTATATATAGGGTCTCATTGTGTATATGGAGACAGACTAGTTGTTTAGTGATGTCATGAACAACAGCAGGTATGCCTCCTGAATTTGAGAGCTTCATTTTCCATCTGCAGATTGTCTGTTTGGGTGCATATATCGCTGGCTCTTTGGTCACAAATGTAGCAAGGCACCCAGGTTGTGTATGTACAGTGCCAGACATTTGGTTGCGTAAGTAAGGATCATTCGAATGTGTGTGCCTAATTTCTTGCATTTGCTCAGACCTGTGCCTCACTGCTGTGTTCCTTTGACTCATGCACAGTGTAATGATTAGCTGATTTGACCAGTTAAACTTCAAGTAATAGCTCCTGCTTACTGTTGAGGTACATTTGCTTTTCAGGCAGCTGTTACTCATTGTTGATGTTCAAACCTGGACCTAGATAAAGCAGGTACTTCTCTTCCCTCATACTTCTCCTCCCCAGGCTTGAAGACATTGACCCCCAGTAGAAAAAAGAATTCCAGCCTGGTATATCCAGTCAATAACAATGCGTGAATCGGTTTATTTTTCCAAAACTGTGTTTGGTTTTGTTGCATTAGTAGCAGAAACAACCTGTTTCTTTTGACATTCATTATATAGGACTGTCATTTTTATTTAACCTACTTTTTAAATGCACACAACATTTCAACTTTTTGCCTAAATTCATTTATGATCAGTCATCTTTTCTTTTTACAATTTTATGGTCAGGCAAACTTGCAGTTTCCTTCTTATGTGGAGGAAGCTCTGAAAGCATTACTTGGTTTAAAAACCTACTTATGGCATATGTAGTTCAGATTTTTCAGTGAACTGGAATGGGAATTCTGTTCCCCCCAAAAGTGAAGCCAGGGGATGTTTAAGGGTTTTGGATGTTGGAAATGTAAGGAGTGAAGAGAAAAGCAACCCTGAAATTTCTCACTCTCTCCCGGTCAAATAAAATGCAGTTCAGCTGACACAGTCCTCTCTTGAAAAGATGGGAGAACAGAATTAAGGGACTAAAATACATTGGATCAATTCTGGTTCTTCAGTTGTTTTCTTACAGTCAAATTCTCCGGATAGCAGTTCCCTTATTACATGATTTTGGGGGTGGTTTTGGAAACTGTGCCACTTTTTTCCTCAGGCTGATCATAGTAGTACCAAAAGAGGATCTTGGACCAGACTCTGCTTCGTTTTTCTGTCTGTTTAAGTAACAGTGTGCTGGTGTCTTTCTTCTTGATGCTTTTTTTTCAGTTAATGGTTGAGTAACCTGCCTTTTTTGACAGAGGGATTGGGAAGAGAGGTTTTAGAAACACCATGAGCTTTCAGTGCCTGTACTAATGATTACAAAACCCAGCCACTTTTTCAGCTGCTTCCTCGTCTATTAAGGATGCTTCTCCTAGGCAGAGCCCTGATGGTTGATCTTTTCTCCAACAGTAACTCTACTGGTAATGTGGCTGAATTGCCTAACAGAGCCTGACAAGCTGCCTGGACACATTTGGCCTGCCTTTTCTTTAACTAAACACAACAAAAGCAGGAAGATCATCTCAAACTGTAGGAAAGGCTTTTATGACAAAACAGAATTGAATGTATTTTTATATGTCTATAATGTATTGTAACTTCTTTCCAGAAAGAGAATAATTGAGTAGTGGAGTGGAGACAGTAGATGAAGTAGGGAAGTAAGAGTGTGAGCTAAGGGAAGTATAGTCTATTGCCAAGTTCATCTCTCCTAATTCAGGGAGTCTCTACCACAAAGAGAGTATTACTGTTGAGATAATGAGGAAGGGCGCAGAATATTTTGGTTACCTGATCATTTTTTTCAGGTGTTTTCATAATCTGATTCTCTGGGTCTCTTGTTCAGTTTGATTATTAAGATTTCTGGTCCTGGATAATTTCGGTGTGGTGTTCTCTTCTGTGTTTTTTGCTTATCTCTGTGGGTGCTGCCCTTCTCTTTTTAAACTCCATTGTTTTTTCCTGGTTAAGTTGCCTGAAAAAACAATACTGGTTTTTCTTGAGGCATCAGATAAGTTCTGTGTGCTGCCAGATGTTTGCAGCTCAGTGGAACAGCGAGGTTTGTAAATTACTGAAGCTCTTCTCTTGTTTTGGTTCTTGTGTCAGCTTTTTGTTTGAATGCTGTGTAATTTCCCTTCAAAACTTGGACTGAGCCTGCTGTGGTTTTACGTGGAATAACTTTTCCATTTCATGATTACATACTCAGTTTTTATCCACTGTACTCGTAAAATAAAAACAGCAAGAAAGCCTGTAAAGTATCATATAGGACATTGATGCTTAGCAGAGAAATGTAAATGTTAAGTAGATTGACAGCAAGATTACTTTACAATACTTGGTTGTTGGAGCTGATTAATACACTACTCTAATAGAGTGTTTATTTAAGCAGAGTTACAATAACATGAAGCAGTGGAACTAGGTGAAGCACTGGTGCAAATTGTAGCCATACTGGTTAATCATGTACTTCTGTCTCTTCATCTGCATTAAGTTTATCTGACTTTTAAAATATAAACTAACTTTACTGAATGAAACATACAGTGCTGGATGAACTGTTTCTGATTTCATCTCCTTAGCTATTTCACCTGCTGATGTCAATTATGGAGAAACTTTAAGTACACTTCGCTATGCAAATAGAGCCAAAAACATCATCAACAAGCCTACTATTAATGAGGATCCTAACGTCAAACTGATCCGTGAGCTGAGAGCTGAAATAGCCCGATTAAAAGCCCTGCTTGCTCAAGGGAATCAGGTTAGCTTTACTTGAAATTTATGTGTAATTTTCCTTGAGTTATAACATCTATTTCTAGAATGTAATGAGATAATTATCTTTCATTATATTGATTTGAGTAAACAAGCTCTATGAGGCTATGAATGAATATTATTTTCCTGATTGAATCAGTTTCCATATGGCCAGTAGACTACCTCTTTTTGCATAAGGGGAAAAATTGTCATCCCAAAGCTCCGAGCTTTCTCTTAATATAATCAGAGCTTGACTGCAGTGTGCTGTGGAACAGGTAGTCACCACAGCATAAGGAAGCTGAGCAGTAACATATTTCCTAGGTCTAGCTGGTGGATAAAGAAGTACTTTAACTCATATCTTAAAAGAAGTAGAAAGGTATAAAATATTTAAGATGGGCAAATGTAAAATGTAGGAGTATGCATAGGTTTGAACAATGCATTTTGTTTTTGTTTGGCTGTGCTGTACATTAGAAAGCATGTAACATGCTAAGTATGTAAACATATTGTCAGAGGTGGTGTAAGAAAATGTGTCGCTCTATAATTCACTTCTATTTTTCTCTTGGTATTAGCAGCTGTAAACATCTGCTGCACAAGCTCTGTTAGGCTTAATATCTCTTTTTCCAGGATGGTGAAGCCAACCAAATAATAAGGAATATGCAATTGGCTCAGGCCAGTCGTCGCTTCTAAATAATGTCACTCAGGACTGCTGTATTTCATACTTGAGCAAATACGAGTTGGAAGTATCTGAAATGATACTTCACATTTATTTCTAGAACTATCTATTTTTATTTTAGATGGGCTGCGCAATGTGAAATGTCAGTTCAGCACAGAATTTTTTAAATAGAAGGGTAGTACTTCAGTTAAATTCTGTGCTATAAAACATTTGCTGAAAAAGAAGATGGGACCATAGTTGGAAGCAGTAATAGGTATTGCAGGTGATTGGAGAGCTCTGCTTTGTTACAAACAATTAGAAAGCTTTATGGGGTTGAATTATTCTATTATACTGGTGTTTCTCTCATATTCTTTAGGAGGGGAAAATGCAATTTATTGTCAAAGTGTGATTTGATTTAGAGTTAGCAAACTAGATGTAACTTGGACCCCTCTGAAGATCTAATGCTTTGACCTAGTTCCAGGCTGTAAAAGAGTGAATATCACAAAATAAATCTGGTTCAGTTGTAGGATGTGATACACGGCTGTGTGGGAGGCAATAGAGAACTTGCTTAAGTTAATTGAATTTGTGATGGTTGATAAAACAGCAGGTGGTTTTATATATGCAGAGTAGAATATAAATCTCTGTATAATTTCTTTTGTAGTTTTCCTTTATATTCCCAGAATACTGTATTGCAGATGCTTCTGTAGGTCACTGAAGATACTGGTTACCAAAATACAGTGCTGGGTTCAGTGTAGGTCACATAATAATGAGTGTTGGTTATGTGTACGTGTTGTATAGCAGTTTTCCTCTTTTAAGGCCGGTCACCTTCATATATATTTATTAAAGATAAGCAAGATAAATATGTATCATGGCAAAATGGTAAACTATTGGTGCATAATAAATTTTCATGTTTAGCAGAAATATAAAGATAGATGTATGAGGAATTACTCATTATAAACTTATGCCATGTTTCAGTCATTGCAACTGCATGACCATGTGTGTACATGGGGAATGAAAATAGTGCTCTTAAACTTATCATATATATTTGTAATATCTGCTTTGACAAGATTTTGATTACTGTGTTTACAGTATTTCAAGGTAAAATGACATATACTGGAGTTCAAAATACTTCATCTGAAACAATCAAAGAAGTTACATTTCTTTCATTTGATTCTGCTAGAAATTGTTACTTTTTACTTTCTTTTGTTTTGTTTTTAACTTGATGATGTTTATTTTTTACAATTTTAGATTGCACTGTTGGATTCTCCAACAGCTTTAAGTATGGAAGAAAAACTTCAGCAGAATGAAGCAAGGGTAAGTAATAATTTCATAAGTAGTTTTTAAATAAAACCCAAAGAAACAAAAAAAAAGAAGGGGTGCCTCAATGTGAGACTTGATAATTTTCAGGATTTTTTTTTTATACACTTAATTTTCTTCCATCAAATAGCATTGTTTGGTGCTTTTTAAAAAACCCACAAAACCAACAAAACAAAACAACAAACTATGTGAACTTGTAATTTTGCTATACAATTAACGTATGATAACGTTATAACATCCCTGGCAGGGTTCCAGGCCAGGTTGGATGGGACTTGGAGCAGCCTGGTCTAGTGGAAGGTGGCCCTGCCCATAGCAGGGGGGTTGGAACTAGATGATCTTAGGGTCCTTTCCAACCCAAACTATTCTATGATTCTAAGCAAGAACAAAGTGTTTCTTTAATACTTTTCATGCCAGTTCTATTTAATGAAAATACATGTTCTCAGGCCAGCTTGCCTTACTGAAAAGTATATTTGTAAATGGAGAGGAAGAAGCCACTAAATCAGGGTAATCATTACCCAGTAATCACAGTAACAGTGCATTCCTTGTGTAGAAAATACAGTAAAAGATTTATGGGGAAAATGGTCAACTTTTATGTTTTCAAGTAATCAATAACTTGTGTTGTGGGGGTAGGTTTTCAGAAAATTCCAGTCTTTAAATATGATCTTTGCAAGTATGTTCAGTGCCTAATAAGCTGTCTTTTCTGGGTCTAAGATCTAGTGTAGTCATCCCAAGTTGTTCTAATCGCCCAGCTCAGTGTAGTCTGAGAAGAATTCACAGGCAGTTTTGATGTAGGATCCAAAAGACTATAGATGCAATGGTACTCTAATTCATCTGATTTCTAGTCTTTCATTCTTTATTCTACCATTCTGTGTTAATTCTTTTCTATATACTTGCTTGTTTTTAAAGCTACTGCAAACTGTTTTAAAAACATAGTATTACTCAGACTGTGGAAGAAGAAAGGAAAGTATTTGGAATCATTCAGCTACATGGCAGCAAATGCTTAGTTCTGAATACTGTCAACAAGATGCCAATCAAATGTAGATATGACATCTTTAAAAAACAGGGACTTCTTGGCTGGTTTAAATTGGAACGTTTACACCGGTGCTGCTTACACCTTTACAGTTAGAGAGTGAATGCATTTCTTTGAGAATCCTGTTTTGACCTAAGTAATTGGCATAGTATCTGTCTACGCTCTTCAGGATTCCCATTGGTAATACCAGTTTATAAGGCATGTTGAAATACTTTTCAGTGAAATGATACATAAAAAAAAATTAAGGACAAAAATGGACAAAATATGTGTATTAGTGTGAGCTATGGCTGCAAAGTGGACTCTGGGCATCTCCATAAGCCAAGTTTCTGCTAGGAATGCATTTTACAACTCTAGTGCACGCAGGAATCCTTACTTTCTTGTATTGCATAATTAAGGTAGGACCTACATAAGCTCAGTGTGAGCTTTCAGTTGTAAGGTGATTTTGTCATAGTCATACTAGGTTTTTAAAACTTTTTAGCTGAATCAGAGGTGAATCATCATGCTGTTGGTACAGGTTCTTTTTTTTTGTTGCACAAATGCAAGGCTTTTATCTAAGAGTAGCTGAGTAATACACTCTGCTGCCTATATGCTAATGAGAGTATGATACTCTGTTCTCTGACAGTAATCACTGTTTGTCCTGCACACAAGTGTTGGCCCCTCTGTGTGGGTAGTATATTGAGCATATTTTATTATCTCTTGTCAGCTTCATTAGAAGGTTGTGTGATTGCTAGTCATGATAATTACAATAGACATAATTACTGAAAATTCTTAGTAGATACTGCAGTGGTTATAGCTTTTTTTATAATCGAATGAGTGCAATAATTAATTTGTTGATGCAGATCTAAAGACTTTTATCACCATATTTAAATTACCTGACAAATATATGGTGGCTTTCTTTAATGTGTTGATTTGTCCTTATATAAGAGCAATTTTTAAATGTTTGTGAGGAATAGAAGTTGTTCTGGGATGGTGAATACACTTAGGATAGACCTTCACATTTTTCTTTAATCTTTTCAATACGTTTTTTTGTTTTACCATTCCCCTTAATAGGACTAGGAAAGATAATGATGCCTTGGGAAGTGTGCTTCCTTTGTTGAAATCTTGGTAAGCTGGTAAAAGACCTGGAGCACAAGTCCTGTGAGGAGTGGCTGTGAGATCTGGAGCCTTTTAGCCTGGAGAAAAGGAGGGAGACCTTATCCCTCCCTTATAGGTCCCTAAAGACACCTGAAAGGAAGATGGAGCGAGGTAGGGGCCAGTCCCTTCTCTCAGGGACAAGAGGAAATTGCCTTAAGATATGCTAGGGGGAGTTCAGATTTGTTATTAGGAAAAATTTCTTCACCAAAAGGGTTGTCAGGCATTGGAACAGGCTTTCCAGGGAAGTGGCTGCATCACCATCCCTGGTGGTATTTAAAAGGTGCGTAGATGTGGTGCTTAGGGACATGGTTTATTGGTGGACTTGGCAGTCCTGGGGTTAATGTTTGGACTTGATAATTTTAGAGGTCTTTCCCAGCCTAAATGAATCTGTGATACTACACCCAGTGCTCTCCCTCTCCCAGTCTGTAGGGCCTTTGCAAGCAGCTTCTCAGTTCTGTGCTCATTTTCCCCAGGGGTGTGATGTCTGAGTTGCAGCAAACTTTGCTCTGGTTCTCTCCTGAAGGCTGCCTGTGTGCTTCTTCCTCTGCCTGCCATCCTCTGGAGGGCATTTTAGCCTGAACATGCCTGCCTGCATATTCAGGAACCATAAGAAAGGAGCTTGTTATAGCTAAGGGATCAATCTGTGGCAGTAGACTTTTTAAGACTGGTGAAGCACTTCATAGAATTATTAAATTTCTTTGAAAATGACTGCTATTTCATTTTTCACTGAAGTGGCTCTCCTTCTCCTTTGTTTCATTTCATACTATAGATAAGAATTTTGTGGGCTATTGTAGGAATGGCTACTTATAGAATCATAGAATAGTTAGCGTTGGAAAGGACCTTAAGATCATCCAGTTCCAACCCCCCTACCATGGGCAGAGACACTTCGCACTAAACCATATCATCCAAGGCCTCGTCCAACCTGGCCTTGAACACTGCCAGGGATGGAGCACTCACAACCTCCCTGGGCAACCCATTCCAGTGCCTCACCACCCTAACAGGAAAGGATTTCCTGCTTATAGCCAATCTAAACTTCCCCTGTTTAAGTTTTAACCCATTACCCCTTGTCCTATCACTACAGTCCCTAATGAAGAGTTCATCCCCAGCATCCCTGTAGGCCCCCTTCAGATACTGGAAGGCTGCTCTGAGGTTTCCATGCAGCCTTCTCTTCTCCAGGCTACTTAGTCCAGGAGCAATATGTTTAATCTAAATGTCTAAGTATTAAACTTCACAAAGAACTGCATGAACATTTAGTCCTCTCTGAGAATGTGTTTTCAAGGACTTTGGAAGAGATGTGATCATTTCTGATCTTTGTTTTCTTTTCTAGGTACAAGAACTGACCAAAGAGTGGACAAACAAGTGGAATGAAACTCAGGATATTCTGAAAGTAAGGCAAATAAATAAATTTTCAACTTGGCATTTGAACTAGCCTTAGTGGTCTTACTTAAAAAAAGTTCATGTTCTAAGTCACCCTCTTTGGCTTTTTATTTAATAACACAAATTTTTCTGAGTGTTGTTTTAGATTATTCCAGGGAATTAGTTTTTGAGGGCTTTTAAGGGTAAATATTCAGGCACAGTGGTATTTTTGAAGAAGTTTTTAAATAATATTAATCAGGGTTAGCACAACTCTTTATTTTTTCTTCACTGTAGTGACCTCACAGCATGAAACAGCTTATTTCTCACTAATCTTTAAATAACTGAATGTTTTCATTGAGTTGCAAATGGAGATTACCTGGGGCAAGGGCAAGTGGATCCTTCATCTCCTTGGTATTTGTATTGTACTAACAAGCCCTATGAATAATCACCATTTAACTTACACTTGGTATCTCAGTGAATGTGGTACAGAGTGAATACAGATATTTGCATTGACCTTCAGATTCGTGTTTTGGTCAGAAATGGCTTGTGAACTTGAGCAACTTCCAAAGGGATTTCAATGGAGTCTCCTCTAGTAGGTCTTCATCAAACCAAACAGATGCATCTGACCTAAGCATACTCTGGAACCCCAAGCACAGGGATTTTTGCAACTGATGCATGTAAGCTGGCCCGTATTGTGTCCTTTGGATGACTTCAGACTACTTCTGCAGCAGTCAAATCCACACAGTGCTCTCTCATATTTTGTAGATTTAGTACAGATCCAAGAGGGCAACTTGGAGATTTCCATAATGTTTTCTGCATGATGTAGACTGAGACTTATAGAATCATAGAATAGTTAGGGTTGGAAAGGACCTTAAGATCATCAAGTTGCACCCCCTCTGCCATGGGCAGGGACACCTCACACTAAACCATGTCACCAAAGGCTCTGTCCAGCCTAGCCTTGAACACTGCCAGGGATGGAGCATTCACAACCCCCCTGGACAACCTATTCCAGTGCCTCACCACCCTCACAGTAAAGGACTTCTTCCTTATATCCAATCTAAACTTCCCCTGTTTAAATTTGAACCCGTTACCCCTTGTCCTATCACTACAGTCCCTAGTGAAGAGTCCCTCTCCAGCATCCCTATAGGCCCCCTTCAGATACTGGAAGGCTGCTCTGAGGTCTCCACACAGCATTCTCTTCTCCAGGCTGAACAGCCCCAACTTTCTCAGCCTATCTTCATACGGGAGGTGCTCCAGTCCCCTGATCGTCCTCGTGGCCTCCTCTGGACTTGTTCCAACAGTTCCATGTCCTTTTTATGTTGAGGACACCAGAACTGCACACAATACTCCAAGTGAGGTCTCACAAGAGCAGAGTAAAACTTTTGTGTTCTCTTCATGTATCTTTGCTTTCCTGCTGTCCAGTTGTACTGGTAAGAGTTTATATTGGCATTTGGCTTGTGGTAAAGGTCATAATCTGAGGTGGTACTTTAATGGGCCTCTTTATGATTCCATACATGCATACAAGCGATTCCATACATGCATACAAGCACACGTATGTGCATGCACACACACACAGAGGAATAATTCCCACAATTTATTTTCCTGATTTTTTTTTCCCCAAATTTTTAACTATTCTGTTAAATAAAAATTGTGAAAATGAAGCTTAAGCTTTCATGACTTGCTGTATATGCTCAGCAAAACCACGTTTGGAGTGCAAGTCCGCCAAGCATTTAGAAGTAATCTTTTAATTCTCCTTGTCAATGGCCTGAAACTTGATTCATGTAGTTAATTTTTTCCTGTGTATCACTTTTTGATTACTTTATTTATTTTTTTTTAAGTTCACCACCGTGTCTTCTATCTGACTTCCAAGTAAGTTGAATGGCTCCATGCTTAAAAATAAGAATAAAGCACAAACAGCATGGAGACAGAGCAGGGATGGTAACTGCTGAGCAGATGGCGTGACAGAATGGACTGTTTAATGTCTGTCTAGATACTGAACTGGGAATTAGCGTTTGCATATTCCTCAGAGATGTTTTGGGTCCAATATAATATAATTTGGGTTATATAATTTCTGTGTTATTTCGTTATTTTGAGGCATCTACACGTACATCGCTTCACTCAGATCTGGATTGGGGAGTTCATTGTCACATGGAGAATTTGAATTTTTGTTAGTTCTGAAAGTGAACATGATGTAGCATATGGGAAGTTTTTAAAGCTCTGTGTTGGAAATGCACTTATTCTTGCACAGAAATTACATAATTGCATGAGGTGTTAACTGAACAGTTCATATAAAGGGAAAGCTGCATTTGTTAATAGCTGAATATAAAGGGCTTAAACACAGAAGTCGTAATTCTACATTTCTGGTACTTAGCTTTTGTTAGTTTAATTCATACAGCTTCTGTATTTTGCAGTTCTGTGTGCTGATATGTGAGTACATGAACATAGCTTGTATTTCACTTTTGGGTTAAGCGCAGTTGATAAATCTTTCTTGGCCCTGAAAAACTGAAAATCTGCAAGAGATTTCATGGTTGTACTGTTTTATTTTACCATGTTTTTCTGAAGCTATCCATATTTTTATTCACTTCTTGTTTAGCAATTCCTGAAATCTCTGCCAGCGTAAGAGTGGAAAAACCTGGAGGCTTGCCAGGCTGAGTTGCTGGAAAGCAGATTTTTACTACAGAGAGCAGTGGTGTTTCTTGTAATGGACTCCTAGAAGTTCACTGGCTTTTTTGTTTCATTATTGATGTACCCCCCCTTGCACACAGAGACCATACACATTGTTCACTTGTAAAACTAGAATGTCTTTGCACCCTTTGAGAAATGAGACTGTTCTCATGGATGTCACTGCAGTCACAGCTGCAGCTTTTTCCATGCCATGGTAGAAGTTCAGTAACTTTCAGGACATTCTTCCTTCAGGTACTTAGAACTTCATGTTTGTATTTATGTTGAAAACCTGCTTCCTTCTTGCCTCCCTCTGGGCTTGCAGTCCTGAGATAGTTGCTGCCTTTCAGTTCCTGCCCTACAGCAGGCTTGGAGAATTCAAAACCTTTTGCTTTTAGGTCTGTAACACCTTTTGCACCAAATCTTTTAGGCAGTTGATCCTGAAAATTCATGTAAACAGCTGTCTATTACCTATTCATATATGCCTGCCAGATTCAAGTGCACTTACTAGTGGCTGACTGGGATTTCACACTGTTACATGTAGTTATGCTTTTTCAGACTGTACATATCAGAGGTCACATGGTTTTGAATTTTTCTCACAGGCTGATGGGAAATCTGTTAATGTTTAAATCCAAAATAATTGAAAGGATTTTGAATAAGCCTTGTATAATACAGGAAGCCAGATTCGTAGGGCACATTGGTGTCATCTGCTAGATAAACAAATACTGCTGGAAAGTTACCTGGCTTTTACTGAATGCAGTGCTTTCATCAGGCCTGACAAAGTAGGATGCATACTGTTTTGCAGGGAAGATATTCCTCAAACTTGTTTGCCCTTGCCAGTTATTTTGAGCCTTGTTTTAAATTAGACCAGCAACATCTAAATGCTACCTTGAAAATAATTCATAGAGAATAGAAATTACTATCCAATACTATCCAGCTAGAAAATACTAAGGAAGAGAATACCGTGTGAAGGCAAGTTTTTGATTTTGCAGCTTAAAATTCAGTTATTTCAGACAGCACAGTGCCATGTATGCAGCTGATGTGAACATCCCTATATTCTTCCTTATTTCTGCTTGTAGCTTTTATCCGCTTTGATGTTTATGTCTGTGTAGTCCATCTGAAGTTGTGGTTTTCCCTCAGTATTTTAGACTATGTTGGACTATGTCATCTATATGTGTTATCAGTTCTGAATTTGGTGCAGAGCCTGTATGGCTGAATGCCATTATCAGCTGTGAACATCTTGTATAACCCTTCATGGATGCTGTTGTCAGATTGGACGTATCTTGGACTGGTGGTGGTTGTATTGATAGTGTCTCTCTTTCTTTGTCACATTTGGAATAAAGCCCTTTTGCAGAGCAGCTGTCTGGGTTCCTCTGAAGTATGAATTCCTGTCAACTCACACCTAAAGCCCAAATCCTCCTGTTTTCATTATACAAAGAATAGGACATTGGGGTTTTGAAATTGTGCTGACTCTATATGAAGTATTCTTCTTGGTGGTCTGAAGTGACAAGCATTGTTTCCAGTGGTGATGTTTGTTTTCATCCTTGACCTCCTCACTATAATACAACATGACATTCGAACCTTACTAACCTACTATTACAGTCTCTCCCATGTCCCTCTTTTTAATCAGAGGGAGGATATTATCTTACTTAATAAATCTAATAAATATGTGGAATGATGCTGCATTGAAAAACAAAGTGATATGGTTGATGTGAAGCCCATAGGCTTTGGATTATTTCCTCAAGTGTCACCAGCTGTCAAAAGAATTGCACTTTACAAAACAGCACCATTTTACATCGCTTCTCTATCTTCAGGTCTCTTGCAGCCTCGGCACTTAGTTAACTCTAGGATTTTCCTTTCATCTCCTTCCTATTGAATCTTTCTGTGCTTTTTTTTTTCTTTATATTTCTGTTAATGTTCTTCCGTACACAAGCCCAAAAAGAAGAGGAGGGAAGAAAAACTGTTTGCTCTTTTCCTTAGTTTAGTCCTTTTTGTATTGTTCTGTTAAAGATCAATCCTGGGGTCTGTAATTTCTCTGGATGCTTTCTAAGATGTTGGGTAACCTACCAACTTTCGATTTTTCTCTTCCTTTGAGGCTTTAATTGGTACAAAACTTCTTTTGATGTGGCTGCTATATTTGACTGCATGTGTTGTCATTCTGCTAGAGATCTTTTTTCTTTTACTGGCATCTTACTTTTGTCATCTTTTGTTCATGTTCCAATTTCTTTCCCTAACCTTTAGCAGCTTTTATATTAATCTTTTTTAAATGTATACTTCTTTATGTAATTCTCTGCTGTATTTTCTTCCCAACTTTCTTTTATGTTTCTTCTCCCCTTAACTGCTTGTGTAGAAATTGGTTTGACTTTTAGC